TGTAGTGCGTTTTTTCTCTGATGACTGTAGTGAATTTTTTCAGTTAAAAGGCAACTACTAGCCAGTTGGCTCACGATATCTTATCATAAAATAAACACATTTCTACTTTTACAGAGCTTTTCATGGAGTTACTTTGTGAATGTCTTAGTTTCCAGCATATAGTTTGTAGTTGTTCGTGTGGAGACGTTTCTCGGTCTCCTTATGTTAAGGCAAGGCAAGTTTTTATTATCATACACAGGGGTTAACCCGTGTGGATTCTCTTTGTTTATCAGTCGTTTCCAGTTGTTTTCATTATCGCTGATGGGTCTGGAACGTAACTTCCGCGATAGGCGGGGGATCACTATATATTTTAAGGCTTAAACTATAAAAAGTTTATGTATATGGTCTTTCTATATCGCGGATTTTCACCTATGGCTGATGGGTCTGGATCCCAAGCCTATCGCGGAAGTTACGTTCCAGACCCATCAGCGATAGGTGAAAATCTGCGATATAGAAAGACCATATACATAAACTTTTTATAGTTAAGCCTTAAAATACCACTCCCACATGCTTTAAATACATGTGAACTTATTAAAACGCACTTTGTAAACACATACTGTATGATATGTGGATGTTGGGATAAGGATATGAATGACATAAAATATGAGAATTTCTGGTATCATTCGATTGTTTCTAGTAATGCATCGTGTTGGTCTTAAATTTTACTCATAATGGTCTTAAAAGGTCTTAAATTTAACTTACTGAAACCTGCAAGAACCTTGATATTATATATTGACTACTACAACTACTTTAATAAGCTACAATTCTTTGTGCACCAGTTGGGGCGGCTTCGAGTCTCTTCTTGCAAGTGGTTTCTCCCCCCCCCTTTGCTCCACTGTCTGCCTCCCCAAGGTCCGAGCTTCTGCGGAGCCAACTGCAGGCAGCCTCGCCCCCCCCCCGCTTTTCAATTCAGCCCAAACTTGAAAGCACAGCGATATGTGGCAGCAGAGGATAGAAAGGGAGGTGGAGACGGCATCATGTGATCACAGCCATCAGAAACCCATCATTTTCAAATTTCCCAGAATCATTGTACAGGTCAGTGGTTCTCAGGTTGTGGAGCACAGGATGACTTTCTATACACTTTAAAATAAATGTTACATATTTATTTAAATGCCAGCCCCCTGGCTCAGCAAATTTAATTGGTAGCATCCAGTAGCTGGGGACCTCTGTGAAATTTAATGTGAGGAAAATTAATTAAAAGATTGGATAGGTGGCAGAGATGAGGGTTAGGGGGTTAACCACCTGACTGTTTGTACTTGCATGACAATCTGCAATCTTTACCAATGTGCAATAAATGAATAGATGTCTTTTCAGAGTTGTGTGGCACAACAAGGAGCATTCAGGTAAAAACACATTTTTTGGCTTTCACATGATCCATCCAGTATTTCTCAAAATTGTAGAGGTCGGCGGTGTGGGTGGAGTTGGGATTAGATGAGGGGAAATGGGTGACAGTGCTGTCCAGGCAATACGTTGTTGTTGTTCCGACAGCATGTTTTCTAGTTAAGATTCTTTCTTTTACTTCTGATACTTTCCCATAAAGGGATCTGGAAGATTCAAAGCAGCTGTGATCACATGGATTGAAGAGGGCAAAGAAAGAGGGTCATGCAAGGGAGCTTCCTCTTCCCTCTCAGTACCCCGCTGGATAGCCCATCTTCCTGGGGTCCGACTCAGCGTCAAGCAGATTCTCCCTCCTCAGTATGGCCTGCACCACGGACCCGCCTATGTTCAGAAACTCGATCACGTGGTTTTTCTTTGCCAATCCATCCAGCACACTCTAAGCACATAGAAAGACAAGTACAGCTTTGTCATCATCTGTGTTAGTGCTGCCAGCGTTGTCTGTCGTCTTACCGTTCTCCTTAGTTACCTGATTAAAGCCCGCCTCTACTACAGTGGTGTTGGGACGGAGCTGGTTGTGGATCCTTGGCTCCTTCACCGCCTTCCTCAGGTCGTAATTAAAAAACAGCGAGTTGAGAATCACCTGTCAGAGAAATGGACGAGTCAGTTGAAGCACCATGGCAAGAGGATGGGCATGAAGAATAGATGGGTCTACTGACCAGGGCTGTCGCCGTTGTGATCTTGGTCCCACCACCACCTCCCACCACCATTTTGACCTTTCCCCCCTTGTCTGTGAGGATTGTTGGACACATGGAGGACAGAGGCCTTTTTCCTAAGTCATAAAAACCAAGTCAGAGCTTCAACAGGAACTAAAAAGGCTACCACTTTAGCCATGAGTTTTCTGAATTCAAGTGAGTATTCATGAGTGTTATCAGAAACCACTATTAAATAAAAACACAAACATTTTGACTGAAATGCAGAAAGCTAAAGTATTAGTAAAAGAGCCCTGACATGTAGGATTTGTAGTTACGATGCCATTTTTCAAACTAAACAACCCCATAGAGGCTAGTTAACTGCATGTCACAGTTCCAGAGGCCTCATGTTCCCTCTCACAATAATCTTACACATTTTTCATGCTAGACATAAAAACATGTGCAGCTAAACACTGTGTACCTAGGAGAGAAATAAGGAAATTAAATTCTGTATTTGTGCCCAGTGTCTTGTGAAATTGTTTTTCGTACTTAAGCTATACAAAAGCCCTCATCTCTGGCTCCCTCACCTGGACGGATGTAGTTGTTGGGTGAAGGATCCACTCCATAGCCATTAGTGATATTGGGAGAGCTGAAGTCGTCCATCTCGTTATTGAAGAGGATACCAGTCCTCCGGGACAGAACCTTAGAACCAAAACTGAGAATATTGCGCATTCAATGCCTTTTTGGAATACTGAGTCTTCCATGCCAGTTTACATAGACATCAATGACTATGGATCAGTGTACAAAATGCTAACATACTGGAAAATAAATTTATATCTTAAAGGTTTTACATTGTGGCCTGGTCCCCCTGATATATAAATGAATCTGTAAATCATTTGTTTCCAAGTTTAACTTGGTCATTATTAAAGAGGATGATTTAGTCTTCGTTAATGAGATAAATGACTTTAACTATTCTAGATTCATCAAACTTGGTTGTAAGGCAGTTTCTATCTAAAAAATGATGAAACCTTCTGCACAATGGATATATTTCAGGTTATATGCTTTGCACAAGAGAAATACAGCAGGGAGTAGAACCAGAAATCTTTGAGTTATGAGACCTTGAGGCCTTGTCTACAGGCTTAGGTGGGAAGCCATGGTAACAGTGGTAAACTAGTTGGTAACCATACGGGTAGTTGATAGAGCTAGTGACTGCTACAGCGCTGCCATCCTCTGCCACGACGGAGAGCTGGGCCGTGCCCTGGCTGCTGGGGACGTAGTAGTCAGGCTCATAGTAGCTTTCGGGGTGGGTGGTGTTGTCAGTGATCTTGTTGCGAAGGTTTTCAGCGAACTCCTCTGAGGTCATGTTAGCTATGAGCTGAGGGAACAGAGATCAGAGCTGCTGTTTAAGTCCTTACCACTAAATCGGTGAGGTAGGTGAGAGTCAGTACATTTACATGCACAGCTAAGTCGAGGTACGATTATAGCTTAACTACGCCATTTAATCGAAGTACTGTCCTTGACCGAATATACATGCATGAGAAGGGAATAGATTTATTGACTGAAATATGTCTGACTCCGCTACAATAGTTGGCTATATGGCTCCTTTCAGCTTGTTAGTATTGGGCTTTTTCCGGTTGATCTATTACGTCACAGACGTAAAAATTAATTAAATCAATAACAATGGATGTATGGACAAATGAAGTGACACGAGCTTTAATTGCGATCTGGTCGGAAGTATAGATAAAACAAGTATAGGGTAGCATAACAAGAAATAAAGTACACTCAATAATAAATAAAAAAAAAAAAAGTTAAGCACCCAGAGTGATGGAAATGAAATTACTCAGCATGTGGTGAAAGGTCATGTGACTATCACAATGATTATACACTGCCCGGCCAAAAAAAAAAGTCGCCATTTGAATTTATATCAGCAAATACTTAAGAGCCAATGACTGGATCATTATTACAGCTCCGCTACGTTATGCAGCAATAAAGTGAAGTCAGCTGAGTACCTGAATCTACTGAATGGCCAAATTACACCTCCATCCATCATCAATGGATTGTTTTCTTCCCTGTTGGCATGGGCATATTCCAGGACAAGAATTCCAAGATTCAATGGGTTCAAATTGTCAGAGAGTGGTTCAGGAAGCATGAGGAATCATTTTCACACATGACTTGTTCACCACAGAGTTGTGACCTTAACCTCATTGAAGGTCTTTGGGATCTGCTGAAGGAGGCTTTATTGAGTGGTTCAACTCACTTGTCAATACAGGATCTCGGTGAGAAATTAATGCAAATATGGATTAAAATAAAGGGTGAGATGTTGCTTAAGCCTGTGGAAACAATAGCATGACAAATGTGTGCCATAATCAAAGCTAAAGGCGGTCCAATGAAAAATTCAAATTGCGACTTTTTTTTTGGCCGGGCAGTGTAATATCAGATCAAATGGACAACAGAGTTGGCAGCATGGGCACACTGCTGGTCCCATGTCAGTAAGGTGTGGCACCCCCCCGGGCCTGGATACATGTAGCGATAGGGTGTGGAAGGGAGTCGTACAGCCATTATATCCTCTCCTGCGGCAAGTCGGCCCACAGCTGTTGTAACTGGCCCTCGAGATCCTGCAGATTGGCACTGGGTCTGAGTTGACATCGGAGCAGATCCCACACGTTTGATGGGGAAAGATCGGGGAACCTGGATGGCCACTGGAGGACCTCAACATGACACAGACAGTCCATAGAAAGTTGAAAGACTGTAACAGACTGCTGTCTCAGGAGGGATAAGACATGCGGACTCAGGATGTCACTGACATAGCGCTGTGCCATCAGGGTCACCCAAATCACTACCAGAAATGACCTTAAGTCATACCCTTTTGGCTCCCCACCCCATGATTCCAAGAGTGACACCAATGAGTCTCTCCACAACATTGGCAGGATCAGTCCTCTCCCCTCAGCACCACCATACACACCCTTAACTTATAATAACTTCACTTTAGGTTTTCTATGCAAAAGAAGCTTTGATCTTGATATATTTCTTCATGTGCATAGATTAGAACAGAGACATTTTATCCTTTTATTTTTGTATATGGAGTCTGGTCTGCAAGTCTGTACACACAAGCTAAGAAATCGCTTCAGTTAGATTACCACAAGAACGATCACTAGACCCCACCTTGGACTGATTCAGGTTAAGCATCTCGCTGGGAGGTATTCGGTTTGTGAATCATTACCCTCAGCTACCATACTAACAAATGCCTCCTACTCCTTTGAATGGTATCCAATGGTGACAGCCCCAATACCTTAGGATTAGAGCTTAATGGGGTGACGGACTTACATTGGTGATGTTCAGGTAACGAGGATCCCCCAGATTGCTCCTCTTGCCGTAGGCGAAGCGAAAGGCTTCCACAATGCGGTGGTAGGTAAGGGTCTTCGTCTCTGTGTCAGAGACACTCGCGGCTGTGAGGTTATAGCCTGTCGGCAGAAGAATTCCGTTAAGCAGCAGCTGGGAGACTGTGGAATTCCATGTGTAGCCAAGTGGGGAATTTTGATTCCTTCGCCCTATTGGTTCCCCTGTGTTTTGGGCGGGGCTTAGTGCTGTATATAGGGGGTGGATGGCTAGGTATGGCGCTGATGCGGCTCCTGTTGCTGGCGGCGGAGGTAGCAGCCGTGGAGTGAGTCCGCAGGAGGTTGACTGGCACATTCGTTCTCATCCCTTAACCATTGATGTGGTATGTTGGGGGTCGAGCGGTTGGTGTAATGCACGCCTTTGCGGAGCTGTGTCCTGTTGCCGATAAGCCCTCGGTTTTAATATGTGTGCCCCTCGATTATACCTACCGTCATTAAGCAGCTTGTGTTTTTGCAGTTGGGGAGGTGGTGAAAGCAGCCCCAGCAGTGTTATAAGTCCTCAGGCTGGTGGTAGGTATATCGGGGATATTAGCGGGGGTATTTATTTGTTAGTGTGACCTGTAATTATTTTAATATATTGCAGGTTTACTGGGAATGTGGACCTCGCCGCTGTTTTGTTTTGTCTGTCTGTCTACACGCAATCCACATCGGCATATCCTGTGGAGCACGGGGGGCTCTTGGGGGGGGGGGTAGCCCAGCATGGAACCTTGGTGCCTGGAGGCTCTTGGAGCGGTGCCGTTCTGCTGCCAATCTCTGCGTATAGCCTATATACTGCCTCAAGATTTTGTAATTTGGTTTCCTTTGGTTTGATTTATTATATTGTAAGGATTGATTATTTGTATTTTTTTGGTTTGTTTTAATTTATTTTGTTTTGCTGTGATTTTGTATTTTAGCTTTGGGTGGTTAAGCAGGCGCCGCGGGGTAGCGGGAAGCAGCTGTACTGTACTAACCTGGTGTCTTGTCTTTTCGCTGTTTCAGGGCTAGTAGCCTTGAGTGGCACCCTCCTGGCTGGTGGTGGACCTCACCCATGTGCATGTGCAGCATAAGTCACTGGTATTGGCTCACTAAGCACATGTGGGTGTGGTTGTCTGTGCTCCTGTGAAGTACCCACGGAGGTCGTGTTTTATCTGGCGTGGTTTGCTGCAGGGGTTAGGTGCCAAAGGGGTTTTAGATTTATTGTGTGTAGTGTGGATTATTGAATCTTCCATGGGATGTAATGAAAACTTTTACTGATTCACGTCTCTGGCCTTTTCCAGTGAATCGAACCTGTGTGCTGTATTTGAGTTGGGTTATCATTATCCCCGGGTGCGGTGTTCCTGGGGTGGTGTGATCAGCTATTTATAAAAAGGGTATTGTAGATCACTCCGCCACACATGGAAATACTCATCTAAAAAAAAAACTGACGGTTATAAGAGGGAATTTGAGACCATCTTAAAGACAGAAAGACAACCTTTCCATCCAAATGAAACCGTGGAGATATTTGTTCAATGAAAGGGAGCAGCTTTCACTACAACATTGAAGCAAAAGTCACAGTGCAAAACACCTAGGAGCAGTGGCTGGAGGCTGTCATTATTGATTTGCAGGATAAGCCCTGATGATTCCTGCAACCTTCTCTTAGAGAGGAGTTTGCTTGGGACAACAGAAGCTGTTTAGAGAAGGTGCTCCATCAGAGCTGAAGTCTAAAGAGAAAAAGTCCACAGTTCTGGAAAGTCACAGCTCCATCTACTGCTGAAACCTGCTTCCCCAACTGTAATCCCTGGAGACCTAAGTGTTAATGTCACAGTCAGGCTTTTGCTGCTTTAAAGGTCCCCGAATCACTCAGCAGACTAACACCAGTCACTTATTCTCCCTTCCTGTTATGTCATGGCAGATTTGCAACATGGAGAATGGCAGGATTTGGCCAGCAGTGCCTGATAACCCACTGTGACTTTCATATTGTCTGCGGGGGGAGGGGGACGCAGCTTACCTTTCAGGGTGTTAAGTATAAGGGCGAGGACTGGGCCGCTGGACGGAGCACTGGGGGCCCACATAGTGTACTGCCCCACTTCTACTTTCAGCGGGCTTTCATCTAGCTGAGGTCGGTAGGCCTGCAGGTCCTCCAGTGTGATGATACCCCCTGGAACGCAAACAAAGAGACATTGGGCTCTATACTACGTCTTGTAATTAGTCATGGATGTGGTTGGGGCGTAACACACTATAAACTAAATCAGAATGTCCTCTCCCGTTCCCTTTAAGAGCCAAATGTGCTTGCATATTGGCGGATTGCCAGGTAGTAGAAGAGTACTTCTCTCCAGATGAAACGGATCTACTAATGCGTGAAGTGAAAGCACCATCTATGGCAACAGCAAGAATCCTCCGACGCTGAGGTCTGTTTTCCTGCAGAACCCTCCACAAAAGAACGTGAAGCATTTTTGAATGCAGGAGCAGGGCGGAATTAACATATGCTTGTGGAAGCAGGAAAAAGAATTAAAATAAATAATCGGTCAAATATGTTTTTTGTTATTTTATCATAATCTATTATTTATGTTTATGAAGGCATAGGAATTTTATGACATTAAGTTTGTCATAGAATAAAAGAAAAATAGTCTACTATGCCTACTTTGGTTTTACACCGCCAGCCACTTGGAAGGACATTAGCATTCTGAAAGTCCCTTGTCACTCTTGTGAATGTGCAGTTAATGATGGCAGAGTCAGCGTCTCAGTTGCTGGAGCATACTGACATGTTTCACATACAAAGATTACTTGCGATTCCCTGTTCAATCAAGTACTCCTGGATTTCTTCTGCTGTCCATTTCTCTGCTGTTTTGAACCCCAACATGCTGGTAAGGGAAGGGTTAGGGCAATATTTGGTAAATATCATGGCGACTTCACAACTTGGCCCTTCAGTGCAAGGTAGAGCCCTTTAGGTCAATTATTCTATGCAGTCGTTTCAGTCAGTAGGTTGTTTGAGTTACAGGGAATTCTTGATACAGGGTCAATGGCCTGTACCCTCAATGATGGACATCTTCCTGCCACCATTGTTACAAAGAAGTGTCCAAAAACTGAAAGGATGATTTTAGTAGGTTGTGAAGGTCTGCAGGTTAACCCAAGATCATCTATGAAACTGAACTTGAAACGTATGAGGTGAAGTGCATTGTCCCAGTTCTTGTTGTCCCTGGACAGAAAGATGACATCATTATAGGCACAAATGTTCTGAAGTATGTGATGTAACAAATGAAGGCCAGTGATTACTATCGGAGACTTGTTTCATGAGGATCGCAGGGATCTCCACATGTAGAACAAGTTTTGGAGGTGATGGCTAATTTGAATAGATGGGGAAGTGACGATATCCCAGGAAAAGCGGGAACAGTCAAATTAACGCAAATAGTCACTTTACTTTCCAAGCAAGAGTACCTTGTGTAGAAAAAATTGCCAATGAATGTACCCACAGCAGGAGGCCTTGAGAATACTTGAAGTCATCTTCCATAGTTGGAGGGAGCATAATGTGAAACCTAGCCCAAAGATCAGTTAAATTCCTTGGACACATTATCAGTGAGGATGGTGTAGCAGATGATCTGGAGACAGTGGAGATGGTTTCCAATATACTAAAGAGGGTCTTAATGGAAGCGGGTGGCTGCATGCCCTCCATGCATTGGATAAAGTTGTTTCTTGGCATGGTGTTTTATACCAAACTGTTCTTCCATTGCCAAGCCACTGTTTGCCCTCACTGCAGGCCAAAAGAGAAAAGGAAAAATTGGAACTTCAAAAAGGAACCCCCAATGTTTTCAGGAAACTCCAGCTGGCTGATTGAACAAAAGATTGTGATACTGCTCTTTACCGTCTGAAGGAGAAAATTCTAAACTCTGCAGTTCTAGCTCATCCTGATTTCACAAAGCCATCAGTTTTGTTTGTGGATGCTTCTCTTGATGATTTCAGAGCCATCTGGTCCCAGGTATTACAGGGGAGACTAGTGCATGTACCATTGTACCTTTGCTAGTAAGACACTCAGAGACTCACAAAAAAGGTTGGAATTTGCCCATTGGTTGTTATTTCTTGCACTCAAATGGAGCATTTGTTAATTCAGTCAATGGTCTAAAAAAAGCAGTATTTTACTGTATGGACAGATAACAACCCTTCAACATACATAATGACAAAGCCCAAGCTTGATCATTGTGAACAGCATTGGTTAGCCAAATTGGCCCAGGTCACTTTGAACCTAAAGTATATCCTGGGGACAACTAATGTAGTGGCAGATGCCCTGTGTAGAGATCCATTTTCTGTATCAGTGAGTGAGAGATTAATGAATTAGTCATACAAAGATCTCTTGATGGAAGCAGAAGGGATGGAAGAGGATGGAGCACAAGATACCTTTCGGTGCAAAGTCTAGTGTCATGGGCTAAAGGAAGCGGAAAACTTGTCTTTAGCACATTTGAGAATCAGGTCCCAGGTGCCTTGGGACTATTATGATGTTCAGACATCCTTTATGATGCTCATTATGAATGGGAGATGTCCACAGCTACAAGAGCAATGCAGTTGAGCCGTTGCCTCAAGCTATTCTGACAGGCTAGGATGCTTTGCCACCTTTCTCTGCCTAAGAGCTGTTTAATAGTAAGAGATTAGACCCTGTCATCTCAGTGGTCTTCCTAATCATTGAGAGAGGCAGGTGGCCATTGAGACGTGAATGGAGTGGGCAGAACCCCAAGGTAACAGCAATGCTCAAACAATGGGACTAATTGGGACAGGACTTGTAGGAGTGTCACTGGATGTTAGGGGATAGTCCGCACCTTACACCTAGCAAAGCAGCACTTTTTCTGCCGAAAAATGGACTGACATTAAGGGATATGTGAGATGTTGCCAGAGATGTGTTTTTGTGAAACCCCAGAGCCATCAGCTAGATCCCTATTGCATTTAGATCTCAGCACCCACGGACGTTGTGTATATGGAGTTTTGGACCAGAGGATTGCAAGCAAAGGTCCATTGAGTCATCACAGATCATTGTCCGCACCTGTCCCTTGTTGAAGCTAAGTGTATTTAAGTGCCTGCCCTTACTCTGTCCATCAGTCAGTCATTGCGTTTGTTCTTGCGCTGCTGTGTGATTGATCCTGCTTTCCTCCCTGCTTTAGTTCTTGTTATCTACCCGCTTTGTTTTTGACCCCTGATCGTTCTTTGTTTCTGGTTTCTTGAGGAGTTCTGTTTCTTGTTTTTTTTTTGTTAAAGTCCTTTGTTTTCTAGAGATGCAACACGGATCGTCCCTTCATTTTTTGACCAGGCCAGGCCATAACAATGTTAAGTAACTCTCAAACTTAGTCCCATTTCATTATGGGATGAATAGCTATGATTTTGAAACCCTCACACTGGGCGTGTGTTAAATTGTGCAGGTATGTTAGAAATTATTCCTTATTGTGTTAGTTATGCAAGTGGTCCTACAACTTGCAGGGAAACAATTTTTTCTGGGGGTTGGTGGCGGGATTGGCACTCCAGCCACCGTAAAACAACTCAAAGTTCTGCTCGATACAAACAAGCACGATACTCTTCTGCTCTCCGCGGGAGTAGCTCTGCTGCAGCCACCCGCAGAAAGGCTGCACGCACCATGAAGGGAATGCGGGAAAGCCTTCGGGAGCCCTGTCCCTGGATGAGTTGAAACCGTCCGAGAGCAAATAAGGTCAAGCCTGTTGGGGATCGGGGCTGGTGTGGTGCTGAGGCGGCGCCTGCTGCATGGCAGCACTTGGGTCCCAGTTTGAGGTGACCCATGTGGGTCGGCGCGTGGAACGTCTTGTCTCTCCAGCAAGATGACCATCTTCCTCTGCTGTCGGGGGAGCTTCATAAACTCCGCGTTTCGGTGGCAGCACTCTCTGAGGTACTCAGACCTGGGAGTGGTCAGATCTCTGTAGGTCGGTATACCTACTTTTGGTCTGGTCGGTCTGATGGCTGCCATACTCGGGGAGTAGCTGTTGCCGTAACGGATTGGCTCCTTCCGATGGTGTCTGACGTCACTCCTTTCAACAAGCGTACTATGGGACTCAGGCTAAGGTAGTCCTTGGGTGTCTTGTCTGTTGTCTCAGTGTATGCTCCGACCACGGTGAGTGATGTCTCGTTGAGGGAGACAATTTACTCGCTCGGTGGTTGAAGGGTGCCCACGAGGTGACACTCCTCTGACTTCAGTGTGACCACTGGCACTGACAGGGCTGGCTACGAGGATTGTGTCGGTCCCCATGGGTCTGGAGACCGTGGTGAAAGTGGCTTCATGTTCCTTGATTTTGCGAAAGGTCAGACACTGCGAGTCGCTGGATCCTGGTTCCTCAGCTGCATCGTTGGACTTGGTACTCAAATACTGGTGGTGCGGTGAAGGAGATCAATCACTTACTCATTGTGCAGATGCTGGAGAGTTCTGATGAGTTTGTATGCAATTTGTGTGAAGAACTTGCAGACTTCAGTGCAACTGCTGACTCTAATGTGATGTGGGAGACCTTCCGTGATAAGACCCTGAAGCTTGTCGAGGGCTGTGTTGGTATTGCCAGTGTTCCCAGAAAGAGGTGTTTCATCTCGCAGGGCACCCTGAATATTACTGAGAGGAGTCACAGTGCCCGACTTGGTTGCAACTCCAGTCTGCATTTCACTTTGAAGTTTTTGTTTTTGACAAAAGTCTCTCTGCTATAAACTGTACTGAGCGAGGGGATTAAGAGTTCGGAACAGAAGTTATGTACACTATGGTCTCTGGCAAATCTCATTCCACACACATAACACAGAGGGTAACCAGATCACCACAGACTTATGCCAGTTACAACTACAATCAATAAGCACTAGGGACTAGGGCTACACTGGAGATAGAGAACCCAGGTGAAACAGGACATAATTACAAACTGGAATACCCAACAATGGTACAAAACAAGGAGCTATGCAGAAACACAAGAAAACAATTATTTGAAATAAACAAAAACAAAATCTGCACTGGAGGAGATGCTTATTCATATTCCTCCTGCTTAGGCTATTCAGCCACACAGAGGCCTGAAGAGCAGGGGAACACATTAGCAACAGAAAAGTGCTAGAACACTGAGGAAAGAATGGGATGACCAGCGACACCTGCTGGTCGAACGGGGAAACAGACAGAATAGGACAAGGCAGAATTGACTGATCCTGACACAAGGAGGTTAATCAATTACTGTTGGTATAATGGGTAACAGGAGAGGCAACCTGCTTCCTGAATGTCCTTCACGATGTCCTCTGCCATTTTGCCAGTGTAATACACGTCAGGTCCCTCAGTGGCTATTCTTTCATAGGTGTCTGCGAGGGTGAGAAACCTAATGGTTTCGTTCTCCTTTAGGGGACGCTTGTTTGCATCGCAGAATACGTTGCTGAAACACAAAGGAGGAGAAACAGTGGCATTAGATCATAAAAGAGGAGACATTAGCAGCTAGCTCATGAGATCATTGTAACATGCAACAGTTCGGTGTTCAGGAGCATTAACAAATAAACAAAGCTGAGTTCAGTGCACTGGAAATGCGTGCAGGTAGAACGTCACTTCTCACCACAAGGCTGCATCTCCCTGGATGGTGTCCTTGTTTTTGTCAATGGCCAAGGCCAGGGCATTCCTGATGGGGAACCCTTTGCGAGCCAGACGTATGCTGGGCTCAAACAAATCCTTCCAGGGCAGGCGGCCATGCCGGCGGTGTGCCAGCTCATACCCCCGGATCTCCCCCGGCACAGCGACTGCCAGACCACCTGCAAGACAGTCAACCCACATGACTGAAACTACCCCACCCGCGAATGCGGTTCCTCAAGGCTTTGGGGTCAACATAATCATCATCAGCAGATTCTAGAGTAATCCATCCATCCATCTTCAAAGCACTCTCCTGGTGTAGGGGTGCTCGGAGCTCATTCCAGAGTGCAAACACACTACAGGAAATTTAAAGATGGCCTTTAGCTTGACTGTAGCTAAGTGGGAGGAAACCTCATGACACGAGGAGAACATACATACTCCATACAAAGAGCAGAGGTAAGATTTGAACCCTCAACGTTAGATGGTTGATTCTAGAAATGTTTTTTCTTTGTATCTCTCCTTACATTAATCACTAAAAGTATAATTTACCAAAGAAACTAGTAATTATAGTAAATTACAGCACCATTTTATCTTGCATTGTTTATTCCATGCAGAGGCCAGAAAACATTTCATACATTCCAGTTAAACCCTAGCATTGCAGCAAGGCGTGTAGAAATTGGCATCATTTCCTATTTGTTTGCTCCCCCCGTCAACATGAGGGTGTTTTAGAGGGATCTTATTCCTGCTGGCCTTTGTGCTCTCAGGTTTTCCTATCAGCCCCTCTGAGGGGTTCCTTAAAATACAGAGAACAAATGTAACATCACGACCGCTTTAGGTCATTCGCTGGAGGCACAGTGGAGTCTCTACGCTTGACAGAGCATCCTCAGGTTATTTTTGTACAGAAACGCACGATTCTGTATTGAAGCCAGCTAACTGGCATTAGCTGAGTGTGCTTGTTGGCACAGGAGCCTTCATGTACCGCAGTACACAGGAACAGGAGTTGTGTGGGCCACTTTGTGACAGCTTTCTGTAGTAAAAACTGCACAAGCGCCCCCTACCTTGTGGCATGAGTCATATCTCAGATGGCAGTGAGCAGACTTCAACAACAACGTATGGCCAGTGCACTGCGCACCTTTAACATGTGTCATTGTGATTCGCCGCCGGTCAGTAAAGATAGCATGATGCACCACTATGTGCCATATTTAGACGTCTTTTCCACAGGCTGCTCTCTGATGTTACTGTGCTCAGGCTGGATTTGATGCGACATTTATCTTTGTAAGCACTTATTAACTGTCTCGGTAAATCTTGGCTAAGAACACTTCTGTTGTTATTGTCCATCACTGGCTGGTAGTATTTAAATATTTATTGTATAATAATTGCAAGATGGCAAGGTGGCCTAGTGGGTTGTGGGTTCCATGTGTCTGTCCCTGTGTTCACATGGTTTGTTTCCCCTGCCTTGTGCCTGGTACTTTCTGGGATTGGCTCCAGGCTCAACACCACCCTGTACTGGATAATTTTTCAATGGAAAACGGATGGATGGATCAAGACTGTATTATTGTTCCCAACTAGCTCAGCAAATTTTGTATTACAGAGGCAATGGGGCCTCACCTTTACTGGACAGCTGTTTGTTACCGCTGTACATGTCTTCAGATGCGTTCAAAGGTGCCGTCCCTCTCGCGTTGATGGTTTCTACCTTTCCTGGGTAAATCAAAACAAAAGGCAGCCTGTGTAGCTCTGTCGGATATTCTGCAAATGGGGGAGACACAGAGCTTTCAGGAGCAGAGGGCAGACCCACCTGTAGTAGCATTGTAGATGGTGAAAAACAGCCCTCCCCCAATCCCCAGGCTGTAGGGGTTCAAGACCCCCACACACAGCAGGGCGGCGATAGAGGCATCCACAGCAGAGCCCCCCTTCTTCATAACGTCCCTGAGTATGTTGGAAAAACACACACAAATGCAGTCAAAAGCTCTTTAATGGATGGTGTGAACAGGGCCGGATTAAGGAAGGTGGGAGCCTCTGGTCCAGGGACATTTTTAAGTCCCTTGGCTTACAAAATGGCCAAGTACCAATCATGTTCTGAAAACAATTAATTATAGTTTCTTATTGCAAAAGCCTATAAAAGCAGGAACATGAAACACTGCATAGGCCATACTGTAGTGGTGGAAAAAGTACTCAAGTATAGACACTATGCCAAAGTTACTCAAGTAAAAGTCATCCAGTAAAATACTACTTAAGAAAATTGGTTTTAAAAGTACTTAAGTACCAAAAGTGAAAAGTACTACGCGTTGAAATTTATTGACATAAAAATAATCTTTCCCTTTAAATACAATCAAGACAGAATTGAATATAGCATTTCAAGTAACAGTGCATCACAATAAGGAAAACCTGAGTGGCAAGAGTATAGTCGTCCCTCGCCACTTCGCGCTTCGACTTTCGCGGCTTCACTCTATCGCGGTTTTTTTGTCTCTACGCGTCGGAAGCATCTTTGCTCTTCATAATTAAATGTACAATTATAACAATGATATTTATTACGTCTAATATTTCTTATTTTCTATTATTTTTTCTAATATTTTGGGTAATACGAGTGTAACTGTCATGACCTGCCTGTCCGATCTTCTTGTACATGTGTGCCACGCCCCCTTATTAACCAAACATGCAACCCCGATTGTGACCAGCTGTTTTGTCAATTTGATTCAGTTTGAAGTCCACGTCAGTGTCTGTAACCCCAGGTCTGTCATTGACGTTTTGATGTTACATATTCCCGTGTCCTGCATTTGGAGTAATTCCAAATAAACCCTTCAGTCCTGATTCCTCGTCTCCCCGTTCCTGCTTCCGTGTCCAGCAATCATAAAGTAATGGTGACTAAAGGGTGTTATTTCATGTCTAGCGGGCTCTAATAATGTTAAAAACCGTATTTAGAAGGTCGTATTTAGGTTTCCAATGCTCTAACTACGAAAATATTCGATTTATAAATAAAGAATCCTACTTCGCGGATTATTTTTAGAACGTAACTCCCGCGATTAACGAGGGACCATTGTATTTTCTTTTTATTCAGAAAAAACAACAGTTAAAGTTGCTGAGTTTGGTGGCACAGATTAGTGGACTGACTTTTTTTATCCTAATGAAAACGAAAGATGGATGTACGGGCCTGATTTAATAATGAAATATAAATGTCTTGTGGCTCAGGACCATTAGACCTCTTATAGGCCTAAGTGGTGAGGCGAGAGAAAGCGAGAGAAAAAAAGTGTACAGGGTGTCGGTGTGTGTGTTCATACCTCCCAACCTCTGAGCAAGGCCCCACATCCGACGCCACTGCAGCCCTGGAGAAGGAGTGCCTGTCACCCAGAGGTCTGTAGAAGTTGCACGATGCCTCGAAGATGATTGCCAGAAGAATTATGATCATCTTCCAGACCATTTTCCTGCTGCAATGCATGGACAAAGCATACTGTCACACACATAATGTACACTCCACCACTCTCACATGTCTGTTGGGGTGTTCCTCTATAGGTTCTGTTCATAGAACAGAACCGTGGGCACTGCTACGCTATTCAGCTCGCCGTTTGGGCCTCCTGCGAACCTCAGCTCATGTTGAGACGTGCTCGCCGAGGGTAGACCAGACTGACCAACATTCCCCGTTTGTCCCGCCAGTGGCCATACAGCCTCTGCTGAAGACCAAACCGATTAACTTGGATGACACTTGTTATACACACTGAAATGCAATGGTAGCTTGAATCACAGCTGTAATTATGTTTGCAAGCCGTACGTTGTTCCTGCACACACTCACATGTGATGCGGTCCACACAGGAATTACTCCTCCAGCACAGATGCTTACAACACAAGTGTGTTATAACAGCTAATAAATATGTAAGAATCCGTGCCACTATCCAAAATATTCCTGTTACTTGTGATGCAGATGGCATGGTAGCAGCAGAAAGGTTCAGATGTGACGTGTGTCAGCCTTAACGAAGACAAAGTCCCTAGATTCTTAAGGCTGTGGTACTGAATGTCTGTTCACAACAAAATCTTTCATAGTAGGCCTGCTGTTTGAAATCCCGAATCTTGATGTCATCGTCCTTACTGAGACCTGGCTTGATAGTAATGCTTCTCCACTACTTAAAACATGTCCCCGCAATTTTAGTTTTTTCATTGTGTCTAGGTTGAACAGAAAGGCAGGTGGTGTACAGTAGCATGTTTATATTTCACAGTCTTTTATGCACTATGCAAGTTTCTTTTTTACATTTGAATACCTTGCAGGGAACTAGCAATATCAGTTAGCATCAGCTACCAACAATAACAAATAGTATTGTTGCCATCTTAGTTAATAGCAATAATAGCTCGATACTGCAAGCTCACCTAGCACGACTGACCTGGCTAATGACAGAGCTCAGTGGAGGAGGACACATTGTTTACATCCAGTCACGTTACTGGGAGCATGAGCGACCCGATGCTAACTTCTGCGCAGTGATACAGTTGTTGTGTGGAGTATGGTAGGATGAAAATAGATCCTACATGAAATTGCTCACAAGGTCTGCGGATTGGCATGAGTAACAGGGTCAAAATTTCTGGTAAAAGACAATGCTGTTGCAGTATTTAAATATAATTTTTTGACGCTTTAATCACCATAGAAAGAATGCTATGGTGTGTGGTAGCTGACAAATAATATATGCAGTTTATGAAGTTCATTTTTAAAATTCATTAACCTGAATTCAGTTAATTTACTTTCGCCTCAAAATAAAGAAACAAATTCAGTTGGAAACATTCAATGCGTTTTAATGCCATTTTCATAATTCAAGAGGTATTTGTAGCATCCCTGGATGAATGATGGTGAAACTCTCAACTGATGGTTCATAAAGGGGTTTTACTGAGATGCACATAAACGGTGAACTATGAGCTAAAAAGGAAAATGGGGAAGGGAAACAAAAATAAAACAAACATCACATTCCGTTTATATGATGACCTCTAGTCCTATAAGAATCTCTTTCAAAGCACTGTAATATGGAAACAACGCAAATACCATGAAACGTATTTATTAACTGAATACAGTTATGTGGAATACATTTAATCAAGGCAGACGTACGGAGTGTCGATCCGAAATAGCAGTTTCTTAACGTAACATTTAAAAGTTTAAAACTCATATGAACAATAAAGAGGCATTTTATAATTATACAAGTACAACAAAATACTGACAGACCTTGTGCCCTAATCAGCCAGGTAATAAAAGAAAAAGGAAAAACAGTCTTTCCTAACTTACCAAGTGCTCTTTTCTGCTCCACTTCACCACCACTGTACTGTCATGCAGGTCTGTTGTGCTTACACTACAGGCTACACCAGTGCCATAATTTCAAAATAAAGTCTAGACATTCGGAAAGAAAATCCATGAGATCGCTCCACAAAAATATGGGAATATATGTAATGTAGTTGCAATCCAATTGGGACAAAAAGAACTTGGCAGCAAGTCTGAATGAAATATAAGAACAAAATGGTCATTACAGCATGTCTGTAATTCCAACATTTGTCTAACTGTAGACTGGGGGGGGGGGAGATGTTTGTCCCACAGTATTTTTAACATAATCACTCATTGACTTGTAATCATCGGTCTCTTCCTAACGAGCAATGGAATTACTGGTCTAGTGGATCCTCTTGCCACAACAGAACATCATGCTTTTACATGTGACTGAATATTCCATAGATTTTGCCTGAGAGTGCTGAATGCATAACAAATTAAATCACTTATTCACTTATTAAATGATATCAGCCTATTCAGTGAAGGGACACACAGGGAGAGATAGAAGTTCATGCATGAGTATCTCTCATGTCAGTAGGCCTGTCTGATTATATGCACTTGCTTATTGTCCTCTAACAAAGTTTGGCTAACCCTTCCCAAGATGAGTAGGAATGGAAATCGGCAGTGACCACCTAAATCGATAAGCGTTTGCCTATTCGATTTGTATCTCAGTTTAACAGATGATTCTGAAGAGCATTTCAAGTGTTACAGTGCATTAGGTAATAACGCTGAATTTCAAAATAAATTATAATTTGACAGTCTCAATGAAGGCATCAATCTTGGTTGTTTTATTACATTTTTATCAAAGAGTGCAACTCCCGTATTGTGTAATAACTGCTGCAGTATGTAACAATTTATAAACAAAATGCAGGGAAATGTATCACGTATTGCATTCAAAATGTCGATTACAAAATGCAACAGATTATTACAAAATGGAAGTGCTGTTACATATTGAAGTGAAAATGTATTATACTTTGTCAAGTTATTGCATAATGCAGCATTATTGTGTAAGGTGTTGTAATAAGGTGTACATTTAAAGTAAAGACAAGAGCTCTAACAGCACATATTTGTTGTGTGCCTTTTGATTACAACATTTTCAATTTGGAATACACAATGAAACGAAAATACATTTCTTGACACGGGTGAAACCTAAATTCACAAGTAGATGTTCAACATGGAAAACATGCTAATTGTGGCTTTGAGTTGGTTACAGCTAGTGCTAGACAGCTCAAAGACCCTCCCACATCTGGGTCATTCCATGTCAAATCACTACACTTTTGGACCTCATTGTCATGGATTTTAACGAAACTGCTGATTTGGTCACATGAGTAACTCATGTCTTGGATCAATATTGAGGGAGATTTAAGCAAACGAAGTTTGAACTTTTTTTTTTTGGGGGGGGGTACTATGATTTTGACTAGCTATATTTACCTTTATATAAGCTGCACAGAAATGGTCCTTATATTGTTTTATATAGCAATTCTGAAATATAGGTTTTTTGTTACTGAATTTTTTATATTTTAATCAGTTATTACATAGTAATTATTCATATGGGGATGGAATATTATTTGTTCAATCTATAGAGCTGGTCAATAGCTTTAAAACATGAGGACTACTTCTGTGCAGCTTACACTAAGGTAAATATAGCCTAGTCAAAGTCATAGCACCCCCCCAAAAAAAAAAATGTAAAAACTTTGTCCGCTTCAATCTGCCTCAATATTGATCCAAGACACGCCTAATTTCAGTTTCATGAGTTACTCGTGACCAAATCAGCATACCAAGTTTTGTTAAAATCCGTGACGATGAGGTCCGAAAGTGTGATGATTTGACATGGAATGACCAATCTCTGAAATCAGTAGTTTGGGAACATTTTGGCTTCCCAGTAAATTATGCCGACACCAGAGAAAGAAAGTATAGTTGATAAGGCTAAGGTCTTGTCCACACATACATGGGTATTTTTAAAAAGTGTATTTCCTCCTCTGTTATTAAAAAAAATCCCATCCACACAAACAGTTAAATAAATAAATAAATAAATAAATCTGTCCACATGAAAACTCTAAAAACACCCTGTCAAAAGCAAAAAGCACACACTCTGACATCAAAGTAGATAACGGCACACACTCCGACGTTACAAGCCAAAAACTCCATTTTCCCTGTCTACACGTCAACGTTGAGAACGGAGTTTCAGAAAATTCACACTGGATTGAGTTTTGCAAAAGCTCCGTTTTCAGTCACCTAAAACACCGTTTGCGTGTGAACGAAAGGGTCATTTTAGATTATATCACCTGAATGTGTGCTTTTGGCAGGAAATTCAGATTGGGCTAAAATAAATAAATAAATAAATAACCAATGCCAAGATTTAAGTCCAGATATTGCACTGTTACTAGCAAAAGATCATATTAAGGATATCCAACTCGATTTTCACTATGGTATTAATATTACACATCTACATTCAAATGTGCATATATTCACTATGAGTTTTTATTGGTTAAATTTTTTTTTATTTATTTATATATATATTTATTTATTTATTTGGAGGCAAAAATTCAATGGAAATGTATTACTAATAAAATTGAGTTGTAGATATCTATAATATAAATTTTTACTAGCAACAATACGGTTCTTACTAGCAAAAATTATAGTTGGTACTAGTAAAAATTTAATTATATATATTCTCGCTATTAAGAATTGAATTTACTCAGCTACCTCGTATTACTTAGTAGTTACTACTTTCACTAGAGTAGAAATCAATTTATAATGCCTAAGCCTAATCCTATTAAAAGACTATTTGGCTTGCCATAGCAACCTCCATAATTCATACAACTGATAAGAAGCACGTGACAGGGGACGCCACCGAAGGAATACTACTCTGTCACTGCAGGGCAATTTAGAGACACCAATACACCTACTGTCTTTGAACTGCGGGAAGAAAATCGGACCAACGTGGAGAGAACGTGCAATGAGATATTAATATGTTAATGCATTTCATACAGGTGGAACAGGTTCCCCTAAACGAGCCATGGATGGAAATTTTATTATGGTTCCCATCAATACTATAATGTGACCGGGAGAACAATTAATGGCAAGTGGTGCACTTTGTCCGTGTCTGCATTCACAGAACATGCTGAGTCCAATGTAAATAAACACGTGAAGCCGGTCGATATGGCGAAGCAGCATACAGGAGCATTTGGCATCAATTAATGATGAGCGAATTTACCGTTGCAACTTGGAAACCTCGGGGAACGGGGATCCAAACGCAAAGCAAACAATGATCAGAAACGAAAAATGGAAGTCGTAGTCAGAGGTACAAGATGTGGTCGGTACGCCAAGAAGCCGGTCCTGGTGGTGCAGGGAAAGGCAGTCACACATGCAGACACGGGAAACCCAAAACTCACAGTCTTGCCAAGAAGAGTATGCTCTCCGGGCGTGGGATCCGGAATTACAAGCACACAGAAGTACGCGGGACAGACCGAGAATGTAGCGGAACCGCTGGGTACCTGCACACGAAACAAGTCTTTGCACCTAATGAACTGGTTAGACCGGTTATAAAGGGCTAAACAGTCACGGGAACGAGAATGATTCGCAGCCGCTAGTACTCTGGGGGCGTGCCCGCGGTGCAGGTGGCGGAGCGGAACCAACCGTATATGTTCTGTCATAAAATACTACCTATCGAGACGTGCTATCGAGCCTTTCTGCGCATGTACAGTTCCACCGTCTTGGGATTAGGGTTAGGTTTTAGGGGTTAAGGTAAGGGTTTTAGGGGTTTTGGGAGGTTAGGGTTAGGCTAAGAGTTAGGGTTAGGGCTATTGATTAGCACTACGGTAGCATTTTTCGACAAGGCAGTATATATCGACAGAACACCGTATTTTAAATAGTTAATTTTCTTTTAGATGTAACCATTTCAAAACCTTTCCTAAACGTTCCCCAGTATTTGCAAAATCTACCAATACACCAATGTATTTTTGACTCACCCACTAGGACACCTCATACGACTATTCAATACCTCATTGCCTTTTTAAACTATTTTAATTAATTAGTTTATTGAGCTGGTGGTAAAATTTATGGAATATATGGAGTGGCTGAGGTGTCCCAGAGGAGAAGTTTGGAAACTGAAGTGGTGTTCATCTAGCCATCCAGCAAGACACCAGTAACTTTCTGGAGAAAAGAAGAAATTACTGTTAGTTTCCATTGTGTGTTACTCTCAATATGGATGTATTCTTATGTTAAACTGTGTTCTTTGTTGTGGGCAAATGTATATTTACTACTAAGATAAATACCTTTAAACATTGCCTTTGACTGCCTAATATTTTTGCACAATACTTTATATAGACCTAAATAAGTAAATGAATTAAATGAAATAATTATTCCAATAAGTATAATTAATTAAATGTGTCCTTTTATTTAAAAATAAATAAATAAAAGGAATTATATTTTATAATAATGATATTTCTGTTACGTATGATCTTTAAATTGATATAACATTGTGATTTCCATTATACTTATTAATTAAGTATTATTTCACAGAATGCAAATGTGGTCATCTAAATAATTCAAATTATATTTCACAATAAAGTTCAACTTTTCACATTGATATACTTCCAAATAAAGGTTTTTTTTCATAGGGGTGGGGGTTACTAGGTTTATCTGTGAAATATTCATTAGAATAATGATAGAGGTCAATTTGGATCAGACTCAGACTTAGACATCCCACCAATATGATTTACGTTTGCATCTGTAGAATGGGTTTAGCAACACTAAATTACTCATATTGCCAGACCTAAAATCAATGATCTGCATCAGTGTTGTGCAAGTTCACACTCAACAAGAACTAGCTCAAAGTTCAATTCACACAGATTGAAATGAACTAGTTCACGTTCAAAGCTCACAATTTTGAATTTTGAACTACGATCACAGTTCCGTAAATGAACTAGTTCATGTTCTTGTCTTCCAGTTTTTGTTATGAGCTGCTCTGAATCCAAAGTGAAATTTTTGATCCGTAGTTAAGATATCACTACTGTCACCTACCATTATAAAGCTCTTTGAATCTACTTTATTGATATAAACAAATCATTTGTATGACTACCAATGCATTGGAGCGCATAACCACTGATGAAGATAAGGAATCCCCTCAAGGGGTTCCTGTAGAAGACCCAGCCTTTGAGTCCTGCCTTTCCTTGCCAGATCGTGACACATAAATTTTCCCTACAGTGACTATATCCAATTCCATTCAAGTTTGTATTAAAAAAATGGTCCGACGATTGATGAATTAATTGACGATTTAATAAATCAAACTCTATAAAATGACAATCAAGGCATGGTGACTATATGAAAAATCCTTCTACCAAGAAACTTCAATCAGAACTGAGGAACAACGGACTTAGATTAAGACATGTAATGTCCCATTGTCCAACATTACAATTATATGAAGTGGCAGATTTAAGAGATTGTTGGATATTTGAATTTACACTTGTTATGGGTCGCTAATTTAAAGATGGTGTCATAGATGAGATGCCTCGATAATGTGTGTTCTGATAGCTGCTTACAGCTCATGCCGCTTTGGCACCAGTTGTTGAACTTCCACTGAAAAATAATATACTCTTGCTTTAATTCTATCAAATGTTATAAAACTAAACTGTATACTATGAAGCAAGATTAGCATGCACCTTTCAAAGCCCATTCAATATTCCTTTATCCACGTCACACACACATACCTGCATGCATATCTAAATGGGGACCGTCCATCCATTTTCTGTGGGAAAAACCCTAATTCCAATCTGTTACGGTTGCACGAAGGCACGGACTACAGAAGCACAGGCAGGACTCGAGGAATAGGGGAAAACACAGGATTTAATTCTGGGCAAACACAGAACAGACAGATGCAATATGACATTAATGACAGAACTGGGGAAACATACTCAAACGCAGACTTAAATACATCAGACTAATTAACAAGAACGAGAAACAGCTGGTAACACAGGGATTCCACACGAGGTAGCGAGGGGGCGTGGCACACAGGAGGATCAGAAAAGCAGGTCATGACAGAATCCCCCCCCAAAGGCGCGCACTCTGGGTGCTTAAAGGGACTGGAGGGACAAAAGCGGGGACAGCACAGGACAGGACCTGAGGAAACAGAAGCAAAAAACATTAACAAGGCAATGGGAACAGGACCAACACGCAGAACAGACACAAAGACAGCCACCAGGACACAAACTGACACATCACAGGGAACGCGAACAGACACAGGGTCATCAGCGATGGAAACAGAGGGACAACAGCAGGGGACAACCCAACAGGAGGAACAAAGGGATCGCGAGGGGAAAAAGGTGACACAGAAGGATGGGGAGCAAGCATGGGGCAAGGAAGCAGAGGGTAGGAGGAAGCAGGGAGCCGGAGTAAATCCCGGCTGGCTGAAGGTGGGAGCCACAGGGGCCACAGGCAACCACGAGGCCGGAGCTGGAAGGACCTTCGGCACCCGTGAGGCCAGAGCCACAGGGGACACTGAAGGGGCCGAGGAGGAAGGCGGAGGGACTACTGGAGGAGGCGAGGAGGGAGGTGAAGGGGACAACGGAGGAGGCGAGGAGGGAGCAGAAGCCATGGCAGGCGAAGGCAAAGGCACAGGCGACCGACAAGGCACAGCAGGGGGAACTGTAGGGAACTGCCAAGCAGGAGCCAGGAGGACCACAGGCGAGCCAGGGGGCAGGTCAGATGGGACCCAACCCCATCGCAGGTGTCCTCTCCCTCTGCGGGACACTGAGAGACACAGACCTGGCCGGGATCTGCCATGTTCGGGTGGAGGTTGGGGTGACCCACTAGAAGGGTTCATTGGGGCAGTCATCAGGGATATCCCTGAGGGGTCCCACTCAATGCTCCTCCTCTATCTCCAAGAGGGGAAGAGTGGTGGCCCAATGGTCCTCCTTGGGGACAGGGACTGGGGCCATGAGAACTGGGGCAGGAGCAGTGTACAGGGGATCTGAAATTTCCTCTGTGACTGGACCAGAGGCACGTGGGCTGGAGTGGGAACTTGGGGACCCGCGGGATGGCATCACCAATAGATCTGGCACCCTTTAAAGCCTGGCATGTCCCCTAAAAGGGACAAGCTCCGGGCACTGACAACAAAGCAGCGGGCAGACAGGCTTCAGGCGCAGACAGTTAAGCAGTGGGCTGGTGACGCAAACACCGCCAGGTCAAAAATCGGGACACACTGCAGGAGAGGCAGCGGAGACAAAGACGGACCCCACTCTGACATCCGGCTTGTACTCCCATCTTTGGTCTCTCCGATTCTTCTTGCGAGCTGACTTGGCAATAGCAGGAGACAGTTCAGCTGACAGAAGAGGCAATCCACAATCCAAACGTACCTGCCTCATCATTGCCTCTGCCTCTCAGCCAGACCAGGTTCTGCCACACCTCTTCGGCTAAATGCGCGTCACTAGACGGGGAGATCTCCAACAAGTTTCTCGATGGAGCAGCAAGGGTGCGAGTAGCGGGGTCCTCCTGGATCTCTGGCTGCCGGAGCACGGACCGCGGAAGTAGAGGCAGGACTCAGGGAATAGGGGAAAACACAGGATTTAATTCCAGGCAAACATGGAACAGGCAGACACAATATGACGTTAATGACAGAACTGAGGAAACATACTCAAACGCAGACTTAAATACATCAGACTAATTAACAACAACAAGAAACAGCTGGTAACACGGGGATTCCACACGAGGTAGCGAGGGGGGCGTGGCACACGGGAGGATCAGATAAGCAGGTCATGACACAATCACGACACCCTTAACCCATACCCAGCCTTAACCTTAACCACAAGTAACCAACCAAAATACAAGACTTTTGACTTTTTTACTTTTTTGGTTGCATTCACAGATTTTTATAAAATTGAGGTTATCCAAATGGGGACCTGAAAAATGTCCCTAAAAGTAAGGAAGTTTCAGGTTTTACCACACTTTGGGAATACTTTGGTCCCCAAAATGTGATTTAATCGACTCCCCCCCCCACACACACACAAACACACACACACACACACACAAACGAGCGTTTAACTAACTGACGCGAAATAAGAAACATATGTACCTTTTCCTGTTACAAATTTGACTTAAAGACAGACTAAGGGAAATGATCTCGTTCGTAACGAGGTGGCTGCCTTTAACTGCAAAAGGTAGCTCACACGTAGAGGTACATGTTGCCATAATAGCTTAGTCTGCAAGCCTATCCTGCTCCAAGTAGGGGTCTGCACCACGAAGCAGGATCTCTTGCCCAGCTGGATAACGAGATGTCGGCAGTAGAAGTGTCTTCTCTCAAATATAATGGGACTGAATGGCATTCTTTATGCGATTTTGAAAATGCCAAAAAATCCATTTGAGAAATTCAAGAGCAGTTTAATGTAGGAACTTTTTTTTTCCTCCACACACCAATCATATTGCGCATAAGAAATCGCCGGGGTGCTCGCGCTCGTATCGATTTAAATGGTATTAGGGTGTTGCCCATAAAAATGAATGGACAATTCATATGCATACTTAATCTGTATGTGTATGTGTGTGTGTGTGTGGTA